CTTGAAGACTCTATCGACAACAGCTGCTCCACCAATTCGGAAAGGCGATTTACTTTCTGTTCCAACTCAGCATGCTGGATGCTTCTCACTGTCACTCGCTCCGACAAATTCTGGGCGACTGTCACCAGATCCAACGCTTTGCTGTCTCCCACCAGCGACGCCAATTTCACCTGATCATGGAGTGGACCGGGCAGACTTCGGATAAACTGCTGTTTCAGTAGGCGCTCTCTTGCTTTGCCCTCTAACTCGGGGAGCCCAATCGTTAGATGTCTGTCCAGCTGCTGGAAAAACACCATCAAATCCTCCTGTTCGTCCCACCTGGCTGCGTGAAATCGTTGCAGTGCTCGTTCTCTCTCCAGATCCTTCCCAAATTCTGCACACAAGGCAGCCCTCATCTCAGCGAACGAACAACCGGGTTTGGCCTTTCGAGTGAGCAAATACACCGCCTTGGCTCGTCCACTCAACCGTGTGCCCAAAGCAATTAGCAAATTTGCATCCCCCCTCACACCCGTGCAAGCCGCAATTCCGTCGAAATCATCGAGCCACGCCTCCACGTCACCGGCCGCGAATTGCTCCAACCGGGTCAACTCCATCGCGATTGGTCACGGCACCAATGTAGCGAGAACGACACGACAGGGGGGTAGACGTTTATTGCACACCGAAAATGGGCACATGAGGGTCTCGCGCGCGCCCTCGAATATCGCCTAGATTTCCGTCCCACCACGCAACACAGGTACGGATGTTAGAGGCGAGCCAGTCCTTTCGCCTCGGGAGCTCTGACTTGGAAGATCCGCCTTCCTGTTTTCGCCTCGATCTCCGCTTCTCTGCACCCGATTTGGATCGGCCAGGAGTCGTTCGAGAGCTCTCGACTTGCTTGTTCTGGGCTGTGTCAATCGGCTCGGCCTCGGTCCTGTGGGCTGCGCTAGCGGCGTATTTGTCTGATTTATTGCACTGTCCACATATTCCCGCTCCGTAGTTCTGGGCCCAGGCTCGTCGCTAGCCGTCTTTCGCGATCCGCTCTCAGCTAGCTCCGAAGAGCTCCCCAGAGCCATTCTTGGAAGCGGCCCCTCTACAATATGTCTCGATTTTCTCGCTAAGTTCATAGAAAGCAACATTTAGCCGACGAAGTAATGGAAATCTCTTCTTCGCTCACGCATCAGACCGGATAGCATTTGTATGAAACGCCTAGCATTAAATCGCATAGATGCCACTCGTAGCAAGAGAGACGAGCTCAAACGTATCTTGAGTCAGTGATGTAGCGCACAGGACAGTCTCTCAATCAGAGACCGATCGGAGCTATAGAAAACAATTAAGGAAATAAGCAAAAACACGAATCCAGATTGCATCATCAGCTCACATGCACGCTAAAAGAGAAGCCTTCAACATCTCTTCCGGTCGAAGCAGAAAGGTATGTTTAAAACTTGTCATGCCTGACGCTTGATCGTGTTACGATGGAGGTCTTATCATTAGACGCTAAATGCTTTTTCACTGCTAGGAAGGATAATATACTAGCAGTAGAGGACCAGTTTGAAAATGTGTGCACATGGACCTCTCAACTGATTCCTTGTTCTGAAATGCGTTTGGGAGAGTTTAAATCGTTTCTAGTGCGTGCACGACACCAATACCCACGTGCGAGTATAGTACATAACACTCCGGTAAAACAAGCACAACTTGAAGCTCTTAACCGTCTGGTTACCAATGATGAGCTCTTACTCACTCGGCCATATAAGGGCGCAGGTATTGTTATCATGAACAGAGTGGACTACTTGAGCAAAAAGGAAAGAAATACTGGCAGAGGAAACCAAGTTGCTGAGGGCCATAGGTGAGAGAAACAAAACAAAACAGATTGAAACTCAACTTCGCAACTGTCTTAAAAAGCCTTGCAACGATGGTTACATCAAGGAAGCAACTAATGAAAAACTTCGGCCTGTAGGAACGGTTATTATAAGGCTTTATGGGCTACCAAAACTCACAAGCCTAACGTCCTCCTTCGTCCGGTCTTGAATATGAAAAACTCCCCATATCGCTCGATTGCTCGGTGGCTGGTTTTGCTCCTTACACCTAACACGACATGTTGTCAGCGTGACACGCGTGACGCGCGCTCCTGGATAATTGTATTACTTCTCTCTATTCGCCTTCCATTTTGTGCCACATCTTCGGAAGTACACTCAATCGACTCGGATCGTCGAGACCTATCCAACGGATTCAGTCTTTCTGCAGTACTACTAACGACACACTGGTAAATCCTGAACACCGTCTTTGACAGTTCATTCGGTAAGACCTGCTTGTGAAACTGCGTTGTTTTTTATTTTTCCCACTACATTGGGATACCATTCGACGGAGCTTTTTTAAGGCTACTAGACAACACATTACTTATTGCAGTGCACCTCTAGATACCACAAATAGAGGCTATTTTGTGATCACGCAATTACCGCTGTAACTCCCTTAGCGCGTTTTACCACGCAAAGCCTTTGTGATATTTCACTGCCCACTGTTCACCGTGCGCACATGATGGGCCGACGCAGTGTCTCAGCTACGCAAATGAACAACAAATCCAAGGTCAATAGTGGTCCAGACACGTCGGTCACCACATGCTCGCTTTGTTCCAATTCCTTCGATGGGGCTACAAAACACTGTATGTCGATCGACGGCTTGTGTGTGTGTGTGACGCATGTTCAACCAAACCGTTGGCCAGGATCATTCAAGCGCTTATGGCGAAATGTGAAAGTTTAGCCCTAACGGTCACAGAACAAAAGGAATTGACCGCTAGCTTGGTAAGAAAAACCACTGAACTTGAGTCGCAGATTAGTGTATTAAGTAGCCCGAATCCTAGACCTGTCAAAAGGCGAGAGCCATTTAGTAAAGAAGCCACACAGTACGGTGAAAATAGCACACCATTGTTGATGGACGCCAGCGAAGACAGGCCTGTCGAACGACCTCCCAAGTTTTGTGAAGTGTCTCAAGGCTTAAACAGCTATGCACAAACTGCACGCTCAACCCTGTCACGGGTTGGACAGCAACATTTGACCCCCACAAACAGCACAACAAACGGCGTTCCGCGTATGCAGTCATGTAGCAGCGCAGGCTCTCCCTGCACAAGGGACAAGATGAGTACTCAAACTAGACAAATGTCCACCAGTAACAACTCTCAGGATAAGCAGTTAGTGTACAACAAAAAAGCTCTGACAATTATGTGTTCAAATGTACCAGAGCCCACGAGCGAGTCGTTAAAAGGTAGGCAAGTGGAAGAACAAAACCGCTGGGCAGAGATATGCTGTGCTCTCGAAATTAACGTTCCTCCAACTAGTCTTACGCGCATTTCCCGAAATTCATCCTCGCCGCATTTAGGACAACCTCGGTTATTACGAGTAACATTTGGTAACACACGCGACCTGGAGGATGTGCTCCTGACAGGCCACAAGCTAACGAATTCCTCTCTCAGCGCCCGCATTTTCCCAGATAAACCATAGATAGAAAGGCAAAAATGGAAATCCGACCCAGTCGCGTCACGACATGATGCGACGAAGAAAGTAGTGCTGGTCCACGGTGTTCCAGAACTTAACCATGGCGATATAAATGAACATCAGAAGCACGATATAGAAGAGTGGAGGTACATAACGGAGCTCTACAACATACAAAATATCGTGACTTTCGATGTCACCCGTCTAGCGGCCTCCTTAAACTATCAGGGTAACGGGCCAAACATTTTGAAAGTCACCGTGGCTACACCTGAGATGGTATCAACGGTGGTCCAAGCGTGGCACGCCAACAGAAAACGTGGCCACCTGAAATACGTTTAAGACTGTTCCTAAACAAAGTAAAGGCCACAGATACAGACGAACCGGACTCGGTTGTTCCTAAATCAGGTCAGACAAATGTGCAAACGCCTGTGACAAAAAACGTACGCTGACCGGCACAATACGTGCCGGTCAACCACAACGAACCGAGCTCCTAATGTGTCAACAGATACAGTGCTGCCACACAAACGCTCAGGGGCTCAACTCTAAGCTACCTGAATTGCGCCATCGACATAACACAATCAATTGGGATATCATAGCTGTAACTGAAACCTGGCTCTCCAATGACATGCTCGACACGGAAATCGAAATCAGTGATATGTCAGTTATTCGCAATGATCGTCCATCTCGCGGTGGCGGCGTTGCTCTGTACTATCGGAATTGTCTGAGATGTGAGGCTATTAACGAACGTCACCTTGCTATCTCCGACGCTTTGTTTTGCCGAATGCAGCTAAATGGCCGAGGTGGTGAACCTTCGAAGAAGACGTGGGATGCTTGTCTGTTGGCAGTTGTCTACAGGCCACCGAACTCCACCGCAGACCGAGATGACATTCTGTTAAACGCGCTTCATTATGCAGTTTCTCAAAAGTACTCACATTGTCTAATCATGGGCGATTTTAATGTACCCTCAATTGTCTCAGCGACTTCTAGTGGTCCTTACTTCAAATCAAAGATTCTCGAGTTTATGGATACAGCAGCTCTGTACAACCACGTGCCCCGACCAACTAGACACCGCAGTTCAAATAAGCCATCGCTCCTGAATTTAATCCTAACTAACAAAGTGTTGATGATTGAGACAATTTCATACGATCCACCATTAGGCAACGGTGACCACTCAGTGTTAAATTTTGCCTATGTATGTTACGCCAATACTACTGAAATCAGACATGAAAACTGACGAACTATAACCAACTATTCCGTGCTTCACAGCCTAGCGACAACCGTCAACTGGGACCTCAATCTGCAGAGCACGGCAAACGACGCGTGGAACGAACTAAAAGGCAAAATTAGCTGTTTCAGGCAAGCAGCCACTAAAGTCATACCATTACGAGTGCCACGCCGGACCAACACCTGGATCCGAAGCAGAACGCGTAAATGGATTAGCACTAGAGACGAGATTTGGAGAAAATACGCGCTGAACAATTGCGCCGCCACCTGGGAGAATTACAAAATAGCGAGGAACTGTTGCACATCACTGATTAGAGCCGATAAGTAAAGGGGGGTGGGGGGGGGGGGGGGGGGGGGGTGGGGGGGGGGGGGGGGGGGGGGGGGGGTTGGGGAGGGGTGGGGGGGGGGGGGGGGGGGGGGGGGGGGGTGGGGGGGGGGTGTGGGGGGGGGGGGGGGGGGGGGGGGGGGGGGGGGGGGGGGGGGGGGGGGGGGGGGGGGGGGGGGGGGGGTTGGGTGGGGGGGGGGGGGGGGGGGGGGGGGGGGGGGGGGGGGGGGGGGGGGGGGGGGGGGGGGGGGGGGGGGGGGGGGGGGGGGGGGGGGGGGGGGGGGGGGGGGGGGGGGGGGGGGTGTGGTGTTTGGTTTGGGGTGGGGGGGTGTGGGTTTGTTTTGTTGGTGGGTTTGTTGGTTGTGGTGTGGGGGGGTGGTTGGTTGGGTTGTTGTGTTTGGTTGGGTGGGGAAAGTTATTGGTAGAGTTGGGGGGGTGGGGGGGTGGGGTTATGGGGGGGGTTTGGGGGGGGGGGTGTGGGTGTTGTGTGGAGTGTGGGTGTGGGGTGGTGGGTGTGGGTGGGGGGGTGGGGGTGGGGTGGGGGGGGGGTGGGGGGGGGGTGGGTGGGGTGGTGGGGGGTTGGAGGTTGGGTGTGGATGTATGGGGGGTGGGGGGGGGGGGTTGTGGAAGGTTGTGTTGGGGGGGGTTGGAGGTGGGGTGGGGGGGATTATAGGAAGGAGGTGGGGGTTTTGTGGGGTGTGGAAATAGAAGTGTGTTTTTGGGTTGAGTAGGTTGAAGGATTAGTAGGGTAAATGGTAGAAGAAGAATGGTAGTGGTTTTGGTTGGGTTGATTATTTGAAGATGAAAAATTAAAAGATGATGAGTTCTGAAGACTAATGTCTACACCTCAAACACGGCTTTAGGCGCAACGATCTTGCATCACAATATGATTCTTCTCGGATTCATGGACCAAAACGCTTGGTGAAGGATCCCCTTGAAATGATGTACCTAAACTTAGCAAAGGCATTCGACAGGGTCAATCACTTAGCTCTGCTTCATAAGCTTCGTGCCTACGGTATCCATGGTTCCCTACTCACCTGGCTAGCAGCATATTTGCATGACAGAACGATCAAGGTCAGAGTCGCCGATGCCCTCTCGGAAACCCTCTGCATCTCCAGCGGTGTTCCTCAAGGATCCGTCCTTGGTCCCCTCCTTTTTCTGGTCTACATTAACGACCTCCCGGATAATATTCAATCCTCGATGCAAATTTTTGCAGATGACGCAAAAATCTGGAGAGTTATTCGCTCAACATCAGACTGTGCCCTCCTCCAGAATGATTTGGATCGAATCAACAAATGGGCAGATATAAACCACCTCCCCTGAATCCTGCCAAGTGTCACCTACTGTCATTGCGCAGCAATCTTACCAACACGTACCTCTTGGGGCAGTACGTTTTACGGCGCGTGACCACAGAAAAAGACTTAGGCATCATTGTGCAAGAAAGTCTGGGGAATTCGCTCCAATGTTCCAAAGCAGCGAACGTGGCGAACATGAACTGAGACTTTTGAGGCGAGCTTTTGGTGTTTTTGAACGACGGTTGGTACCCATGCTTGTCAACTCCTATATCCGTCCCCACGTCGAATATGCCGTCCAGGCTTGGTGCCCATGGTTAAAACGGGACATTCATCTCTTAGAGCAGCCCCAACGAAGAGCTACGAAGGCAACACGCGGATTATCTGGTCTCAATTATGAAGTGCGTCTCAGTTTAATCGGAATGTTTTCCTCCGAATACCGACGACTACGCGGAGATCTCATTCTCGCATACCGGATATTAACGGAAAGCGATCACCCGTGCAAATCGCTGCTCACCCTAGCCTCATATAAGCGATCGAGAGGTCATAACCTCAAGCTGATAATCCAACACTCCCGATTAGACTGTAGAAAATATTTTTACTCTCTTAGAATCTGTTCACAATGGAATGACTTGCCAACGCATGTGGTAAACGCTCCGAACATTACAGCCTTCAAACAATTGTTAGACATTCATCTGAGTGACAAACAACACATTGTGGTGTGATGTACTAGGTTTAGACTATTGGCATTTCAGTTCCATGTCGGAATCTAATGATTTTTATTTATTTTGCATTTACCTTTCTGTGGGTCTTGTAAAGCCAATGCTTTTTATCCCATCATACACTATTGAACCTATATCGAGAGCGAATTGTTGTGGCATAGTGTGGAGGATAGTTTCGAGTTTATGGATATTTTGCGTAATGTAAAGTTTTTCCAATATAACCAGGTGCTCCCTCGACGATACTTCACTCTTCACCAACGTACCATTAGTTGAGACCATAAACTACATCTGTGAGTATAGTTGATGCAAACACATTAATGTTGGCACACCCATGGTGATCCTAAAGAAACTATTGCTCAGATGCACGTTCAATGTTCAGCTTCTATTCAATGGCGAATTATACCGGCAGTGCGATGGATAGCCGACAATCTTCATGCGTCATGTAGGAACAGGGGAAAGCTAAAGCCAACGATCTCAAGTCTCGGTTTTTATATGTGCCTTTTACGTGGAAGACATTTTTTCTTGCTTCAGTCTCTCGAAGTATCGATGAACTTACAACACTTTCAACCAGGCCATCCAGCAATAAAGTTCACCAGCGAAGTTGAGGAAAACAGTCGCTCTCATTTTCCTCGATGTTGCCATGAAAAGACTGGATGGGGGTGCGCTACAGCCCGTGGTCTATAGGAAAATACGTGGAATGGCAGTACACAAACTTCTAAGCTTTCGTGCCACTTTACATTTAAACGGAACTTGATAATTACCCTAGTGAGCCGAGCTGAACGTATCTGCTCGAATGATACGCTTGAGGAAGAATTAGAGTGCATTCGCTTAGTGCTAAGGGCGAACGGCTATCCGGAAATCCTCATCAGAGCCAACAATGGAACATAGAAGAAAAAGCCTGTAGTTTTGAGAGTAGAACGCAAGCCAATCTTCCTACAGCTGCCATACAAGAGCGAGGTTGCGACGGAACTTCTATCTCGTCGTACTTTCGTTTGCACTCAGACGCACCTACTAGAAGGGCAAATGCAAGTTCCAGTTCACTAGCTTTCCGATAGTGAGACAAACTTACGGGATAAGAGGCCAGTCCACACCAACTCAATGCTGTATCTACTCATTTGCGTGCTCCTGTGGAGCGGAATATTTGGTCGTACGACACCGCCCGTCCGTCCGAGAGAATTGAAGGAACACCACCCGGGTCGGGCTTACAAATAGAAGTAGAAATACAGCGAACTCAT